AACCTGTTGTATCCATACCATCTACAGCGTGTTCAACATCTGGAGCCAGAAGATTTCCCTAGGCGAGTAGAATTTTGTCAGTGGTTGAATAATAATAGAAATTTGTATCACTACATCTTATTTACGGATGAGTCACAATTTACCAGAGACAGTATCAACAACACCCATAACGTGCATCAATGGTCGGACATCAACCCTCATGCCACCGTAGAAAGTAATTTTCAACGTAGATTTAGCGATAATGTGTGGTGTGGAATGTTATACGATCAACTTATAGGGCCATTTATTATTGAAGGTCGTCTTAATGGACCAACGTATCTACAATTTTTAGAGGAAGAACTCCCGCGATTGTTTGAAGATGTACCTCTGGCAAGACGATTAAGAATGTACTTGATGGAGCTCCAACTCATATTTCCCGAATTGTCACTGCTCACCTAAATAAGCATTACTCTGGTCGCTGGATCGGTCGAGGTGGGCCACACATTTGGCCGGCTAGGTCTCCAGACCTCAATCCGTTAGATTACAACATGTGGGGTTGGATGAAGGATTTGGTTTATCAAGAGAAAGTGGAAACACGCGAAGCTCTAATCCAAAGAATTGTTAATGTTGCAACGCAAATAAAAGAAAAGTACGCGAATATTAGAAATGCAAGGCGAGCAATTCACAGGCGTGCTGACAACTGTATTGAAATAGGAGGTGAAATTTTCGAAAACCTTTTAAATTAAGAATGTATGTATCATTATTACCGATGTTACCTAAAAATAAAAAAATGAAAATTAATTTCCATTATTTTATTTTCAGTAGCTCAATAAGTAAAGCAAATCGGACACATGTTTATATGAACTTTTTTCCTAGAAATAACTCAAGGAACATCCTCTATTAGTGCCGGGAGAACTTCATGAAACACCCGGTATGTCACGCTGGGAAATATTTAACTAATGTTTAAGGCTAATTTTCCCAAGTAACTTATATGACGTAACACACAAGTGCCATACAAAATTTTATCCAAAACTTTCATAGAATTTCGTTTTAATAATAAATAAAAGTAACTTAAAATTTCAAGTTGTCAATGTCAGAAAAGGTAATTTAACGAAATGAGTGTATTTTTAAATATTACAAAAGATGCGAGTTTCAACCTAAATTGTGTCTGTATCCAAGGGTTGTCAGTAAACAAACTACACTTTTTGAGTTGAAATCACGTCGAAATCCTAAAACCAAGACTGAAAAAATAGAAAATGTGGAAATTCCATCTGAAATTTTAGACAAAGCTAATGCGGCTACTGCAGGCCATCATTCCGGAGAAAACAAAATCTATATACAACAAAGAAGGGGTGAAAGGCGTAAATGAAGATGTCTTGCTAGCTTATTTTTTCAATTTAAGTGAGAAACTAGCTCCATCCATATTGTGGACTAAATATTCCATGTTGAAGTCAACTTTGAGAGTTTACAAGAACATTGAAATTTCTAAATTCGGAAGACTAGTGACATTTCTAAAGACTAAGCACAAACATTTTCAACCAAAATAATTCAAGGTCTTAGAAAAAGAAAGAACAAATCGAACAATTTTTGCGTGAAGCCCTAGACAAAGATCATCTAATGAATAAGGTAGGTTAACTGAGTTATATTTATTAAATTTGTTGTTTTAGGTGGCGTTGATATTAGGAGTTTCTGGCGCTTGCCGTTGCGAGGAATTGACCAATCGAAGCATAGACAATATAGAGGACAAAGAGCAGTATATCCACATCATGATTTCAAATACTAAAACGAACAAACCAAGAAGCTTCGCTGTGTTAAATGAAGGATTTTGTGTTAATCCAAGGGAATTAATTAGAAAATATTAATAATAAGGCCTCAAAATGTGCAATTTTCAAGAGGGAAAATGCACATGTCAATGTGTTGGTATTAATAAGCTATCAAAAATCCCTTATGTTGTTGCGCGATTTTTGGGCTTGGCAGATTCTAATTTATATACAGGGCATGGCTTGCGTCGCGCATCTTCAATTCTCTTGGCCAATGCTGGAGGGGATATTACAACACTCAAACGTCAGGGTGGATGGAAGTCATCTACCGTGACAGAAGGTTATATAGAAGAGTCAATTTCCAGCAAAATTGATATTGCTAAAAAGATACAAGGGGTGCAGACTTCTGAAGCAAGCACAAGCAAAGGGGCAACCTGTTCTATAAATTTACCACAATCACAAAATGATTCCAATAATCTTTTGGCATCGAATTACTTTACCATAAATGTTAATGTTACCATTAATAAGTAGGTAGATTGTAAGTTTGTAGCAGTATGAACCGTGTAAAGTGATACTTTATCCACGAGTGTAATAAAGTAACTTTATTTCACTAGTAGAATAATGAAAAAATAATAAATCTATAATAAATCAAATTCGACCTATTAACATTAACATTTACATTTATAGTAATAGACATTTCGTTTTTTGTTTTATCACATTTAACTTCTTTTCTGTTAATAACAACCCTTGTAGCATTGTTGCCATCATTTTCGGAACACATAACATCTGCCTAACTGAAGAATTTGCACAAGTTACGGATGTCTCTTCTCGTAAGGAATATTTTCCTTGGATTTTCCTTGCAATATCAAGTTTGTTAGATATAGACTCCTCAACATAACTTTATGCTACAGAGGAGCTCTTCCACAGGTACCAGAGACCCCCATTATTAGTGCAACCTAAAATAATTCAAAGTTCACTATACTCCTAACAACATGTAAAAGGTAAAGAGATATTATCTTACTCATTAAATTTTCTTTATCTGAAGCCCCACTCAAAAATTCTTCAATATGTGCTCTTTCCAATGCTGCAGCTTTTCGTGCTTTGTATCTTTTCGATTCACTCTTCAAATATGCAGTAAGTTTGTTATATTTTCTTATATCTATATTTTTGTAGACTTTTATAGTAGCCTTCAATATCGAATACTTCGACCACATAGATGAATTTGCATATTTTTTCTTCGAATTTAAAAAATATGTTGGCCTGCTTTTTTCTTTTTTTTTCTTTCTTTTCGTTTTTTCCCTCCATTCGTTAAATCCGGCGAACGCTTTTTCGTAATGTTCCCTGAATTTCGCTGGCAAAATAAATGGAAAATTACTTCTTGAGCTACTTTAAACACAGTCACAGGAACACGTTCACTATCTTGCATTTTTACCAAATTCATATAGAACTATTTATTAAATAATTGATAATAATCAATCATAGCAGTACTAAGTACGACATAACAAGTCGTGCGAATATTTTTTTATTAAATTCCAATAATTCCAATAAGTTTACAAAAATATGATATAATTGTGATGTGATTATGGATAAAACGTTGTATTGCATTCGTGTTTTAATTGCCTTTTATACACAATATTAAATGCCCGAACTACGTACTCCCGTTTAAACATTCTTGCAAACAAACATACAACAAATAACTATTTTTTTTTCTAGATCACCACTGACATTTATAGTATGATAGTTAGTAACAAATTTCAAATAAAAATCAGATACTGGCTACAAATGGATACTGATAGAAATACAGGCATTGAAACCGTAGTTCCAATCTGTTACAGCAAAAAATGCGACTATTTCAGTATTTGTAAATAAAGCAAAAAAGGAATAAAAATATTGGAAACATTAGCAGAATTATTGGGAGCTTAAACTCTCGACAGCAAAGCCACATTTACACTGAGTAAGCGTTGGAAGTTTATTGTCCACAGCTTTACAACAGTTTTCATTCCGCGTAGCTATTTCATGAATAAACACACGTCCTGACTAATTTGAGGGAAACCGCGACGTCTACCGGGCAGCTTCGACAAGAAGCCCCGACAAAAAAGGGTTGAAAGGGCCCGCTAATAATTATTAGTCACCGGTCCCCGATTAATTCAATTTCTTCACCCATTAATTGAAAATGGAAGCAAGGGTCGCGCGGTCCGCAACCTCACGTCGTCACGTCTTTACAAAGGTCAGTTTTAAGAGAATGTTGATAGCTCTCGGGGGCCGTTATCGTCTTGCAGGACCGTTAATAGTTCCGGACCGACGTGATGTTTCGGGATTCGGAACGGCCTGTCGAATTTTTACTGAGGTTTGCGGGAGGGAAGTGTGCGGCCTCATAAAAGCTTAATAGTGTCCTGTTTCGTGCCCTCCCGATGGAACTTTGGACGTGAGGAACCGGTGGAGAAACATAAAAAGTAGTGCGTGTGTCCGTACTGTCAAGGATGCTCTAAAGAACAAAACAACTATTACTCCGGTGAGAGCGATGCACTAACCAAGTTTGGACAAGATGTAGCTAATACAGTGCAAAACATCGCCTTAGTCTTAAAAATGTCGTCACCGCCGTTCTTGGCGGTAAAAATTCAAAATATGATACAAAGACTGAGAGGTATGATATTGCACATGCCTGCGACATGTTATGACGTCACGTGGAGAGTAGTTAGCGATTTGTGGATATTGTTTGTGCAGGTCTGATGGGCAGTGCTGTTATTAATACAGACCGATAAAATTTAATATTAGAAACTTTCCGAAGGTTTCTGACTCGCTGAATCCGAATCCGACATCAGAATTTCTGCTTCACCTCAGATTTTCAAGATATCCTAATCTAAATGTGCGAAATACAAGTTTTTCACTGTTTGATATTATGTTACAAGATCCAAAATTTAATAATACCATGTTATTGTGTACCATTCAATATCCATTAATTTTTTAATTTACTTATAAAAAACTTTATATAACAACTTCAGCTACATTTTTTTTCAATAACCTTATGTTTTGCTTATTTCGTTTAATTTGAGTTGGTGCACTTTCTACCATTGTCACGCGTTCTACACAGCGGCTTAAAAATAAAACGTAACGTGGCGAGGGAACATTTTACAAGACGCGCAACAGTGGAAGAGAAAAGTATTCGTCGAGCACCTGAACGATCTGCGGCGCACTACGGGCGGAGCCATTTCACCCGCCACGTTACGTTAGACGTTAGACAATCAGTAACAGAAACCTCACCTTGTAGTTTATCTTCCTTGAGGGCAGGTGCCGTCTTGGCGCACTCTATGAACACGGACCAGCAGAAGACGCACTGTAGCCAGAAGCAGGCGAGCATTGTTCCTGAACCAATTACCAGTCCGCCTGAGGTGCAATCACATTTTTATCTCCGCTAGCGGACGCGATCTGATCACATCACCCCGGACGGGCTCATTGTAGCACATTAGAGGACTGGACCTCGTGCCTCCGGTCTAAACAATAATGCGAGATCTTAATTGGTCGATAAGAGGCCAGAGGGTCTCCTAATAGTCCTGTAAATTCATTTCCGTACGGGGGGCGAGGCGTCGGATCGATCACGGAGCAGGCTGCAAATTGAATTGTTGCATTAGGATTGTGCTTGTTGTTTGGGAGTTGGTTGGAAAGTTGAGAAAATTAACGGAATAAATCGGCGAGTGACTCAAGGCCACCGTCAAAGATTCTGAGACGAGGGAAGCCAAAAATAACAGGAATCGTTTAGTAACATCAATAAGAAAGCTCTTGTAGAAATTGTTTGTGTCCTATTTTTGTCCCTCTGCTCTCTAACACACTTATTGAGCACAAACTTGAAGCATTTTTTAAAACAGGAGGACGATGTCAAAAAATAAGACACTGTAAGAGCCCTTATCCATAATATTAAAAACATTTGATAATTAATTATTTTTCCTCGCAACAGATATTTTTAGCAGGCATTCCCAATGAGCACATAGTTTTAAGAATGTTTTTAAAACTGTAATAAACGTTTGTAAGACTTATTCTTTCGAAATATTAAAACTAAAACGTTAACGACAATTGTGCAATTATCAAAAGTTTTCTAAACGTACTTTAATGAAATTTTTATAAGTATCCTAATTTTGAGTTGAATTGAAGTTGTAGTAAAGTTAAAGTATCCAGTTGTATAGGTGAGTTGGCTTATAGTCCTTTATTAGAGTTTTGTTAAAGTTTACAACACAATCTTCATAGATGTTATTCAACAATTTGAGTTGTTCTGAATTGTATGTAACGTTAACGGCGATTGTACAACTATCAAAAGTATTGAGTTTAATGAAGTTTTATAAGGATCTTACTTTTGAGTTGCATTAAAGTTGAAAATTTTGAGTTGTATTAAAGTTGTAGTAAAGTTAAAGTAACAGTTGTCTAGGTAAGTTGGATTTATAGTCCTTTATTAGAGTTTCATTAAAGTTTACAACAAGGTCTTTATCAATGTTATTTAACAGTTTGAGTTTTACTGAATTGTATGTAACGTTAACGGTGGTTGTACAACAATCAAAAGTTTTATAAATGTGGTTTAATGAAGTTTTTATGAGGATCTTAATTTTGAGTTGTATTAAAGATGGCAATTTTGAGTTGTATTAAAGTTGTAGTATAGTTAAAGTGTAAAGTAGGTGAGTCATCTTATGGCCCTTTATTAGAATTTTATTAAAGTTTACAACCCGCTCTTTAAGGATATTATTTAAGTTTGAGTTAATGTTATACTGAATTGTATGTGACGTTAATGGCGATTGTACAACTATTAAAAGTTTCCTAAACGTCGTTTAATGCAATTTTGAGTTGCATTAAAGTAAAAAAAATTGAGTCGTATTAAAGTTGTAGTAAGTAAGTATAAAATTGTATATATGAGTTGTCTTATGATTTTTTATTAGAGTTTTATTAAAGTTTACAACACGGTCTTTATGGATATTGTTAAACAGTTTGAGTTAAAGTTGTATCTAATTATATGTGACGTTACACAAAACATTTATTAAGTAACTACATATTATTAAGACTGAAACTTTATAAATATTATAATAAATACCTTAATGTAAGTTTTATTTGGAGTTCTATTGTAGTTTCATTGAAGAAAAGGTTATTTTGGATGCCTTTACCAAAGCTCATTATCATAAATGAAACAACTGCGTGTTGTCTTTTCAAAAGCTTTACTACATGGTGGAAAGCTTCTCTTTAGTTACTGATACAGATCAGTTAATACGTGATTTATATGTTTGTTTTTTACTTTCATAAATAGGTTGCTTTTACCTCTTTATATTTGGTTATACAAAGGATGTTAAAATATTACTACCTATTTAAGGTTAGTTGCTTAGTGGTGTTAAAAATAATTTTTGAAACAATACTACTACATTTCCTAGCAGTCCTAAAGATTCCACATTTTCTTGGTTATATAAAAGTTATACTAAAAGTTACTTTTACGTTTAATCAACCATTCTGTGTTACTTGAGTTATTTTAGAGATAAACATAGTACTACAATATTTTCTCTAATGTCAATAAATAATGCTACTAGTAAGAAACAGAAGTCAAATTCGAAGTTACTAGATTTGATGTTACCACAGTTTTATTCCCTTTCATAATTATTATGTAAACACATTTTGAGGGTCTTGAGTGAAAGCCCTGACAACCAAGGAGTTCATTAGCCCTAAGAGGCTATAAATTCCTTACTAAACATGAGGTAATCGAACCCAGTCTAGATGGAGCGCGTTATGTATATTTTGACCGTATTACATCTGATAGCTTCGAAATTAATTACAGGGTCTGTTTGATTTTAATTCGTTACACTGGTCTCCTATAATACTGCATAGTAAACTTATATCCACGCCAGAAGGCCAGAAGGTAGTTATGACAAAGGGAATAATTAATGAGCAGATTAATTACAGTTCGTATTGGTCAGACATAATGTACAGCGGTGTATATTCACGAAGCGAGCCTCGAGGGGTTAGTATCGCTGTTTGCCCTTAGATGACGTTATTTCTACGTTGTCGACACTGTTAATCTTGACTTGGTATCAATATGTGAACGTTCGAGTCCAAATTAGTGATAGGCAAAACGGTTGTACACTTATGACGTTATAAATAACATCACAGAAATATTACTATATCAGAAAGTTTAAATCTTGTTAGGGAGTAATTTTACTGGGAGCAATCTTTTATGTATACATAAAATGAATAATAATTAAAACTTATGTATATTAAAACATGTCAAGCTGTTGTTAACTTTTCAAATTTGAATAATTATTGTACTTTTAATATGCATGTATTGTTCTGATATGATATGATATGTTATGAATAGAATTGAATGAGGGAATGTATGTATTGAATGTATGAATGTTGGGCGCCAAAATTTTTTTATTTGATTTATATTAAAATTTGGATTATGAGTGGATTAAATTTTGAATTTTGAGTCAGTTAATATTTTATTTCTGTGGAGACGTGAGAACTTATCTCAGTAGTGAGTTCTAGCAGGAAGTTATTTGAATCCTGTAATACATCACACAAAGAAACAGGATCAACTTTCCAATTTATTGTCTGGCCCAATATAACAAAGCACTATCAAAGCAATAATGAATGTTTAAAGAATATTTCCAATTAATTTTATAAATTACCAATAAACACAGAGAAGAAAGTTATGAACAAAACAATTTTTAAGTTCTAGGTAAAGTGCCCTCTAGCGGCGCATAATGAAACTTTTCTTTGACTGGTCTTCATCTACTTAGTGGGTGTGCCAAATGACAGACTAATTGAACTTGAATTAAGTAAGTTATTGAAATAGAAACATTTTAAAAATTGAACTTTGACAAGCTGTAACTTGCAAACAATAATTGACAATTCGAAAAAAATTTTCATTATATACTGCTACTATTTTAATCCTAGAATCATCTCCCAGGGTTTCCTGACGGATTTTCAGAACACTCTGTATATTATTAACAGTGACATTACTATATACATAGTAATACATTTAAATGTGGTAAAGTGCCACTTTAGTAAATGATTTTGAATTTAGCAAAATAGCATATTATCAGTCAAAATGCGAAAAAAGTATATTCTTTTTTAATTTATATTCAAAAGTGTTTTCACTGATAAATTGTAATAGTGCAATGGTAAACTATTAATAATGAAAGCAACCATACATGGATTGATCTTCTCGTTTGCCTCGTTCCTAGTGTACGTATACAGGACAGCCCAGGCTCGCGAACGCAATATATAAGACACCTCCAGCTGCATTAATAGACCCACTTACTCATGAACGCGATGAATTAAAACCGGTGGCGCGCTCGCAAGGACGTCGTTTATCACGGGGTAGACGGGGCTGTCCCCAGGTGTACGGAATTCTTGGGGAGCTCTACAATACATGTACATTAAGCAGGATGCACCTCGCCGCGATACTTTTTGTAGGTTAATGGGTGTAGAGGGGTTGGCGGGGGCCGAGCTTCCGCCGCTGAAAGGAACAAAACGTAAGGGGGAAGGGAGAGAGAGGGCCGTTTGTGTCAGGGAATGGGAATTGTCTTTGTTGGGCGCCACCTTTATTCCATTCTGTCTCAACAATGCGAGGAACAAGTTTTAAATAAAGTCGAAACAAGCCGGAGACGTAAGCAACCTTTTAATATTTATGCGTAATTTAATTAAGTCTATAACAATGCTGTTTGCTTTGAGATATTGCCCTGGACTACTTATCTTTAGGGGAAAGATGTAAGTAATAAGTAAGTAATTGGAGCAGAGTACACTTTTACCTAATAAAAGTTTGTTTTACAAATTTTGTCTGGTAGCGATTCATAATTTTTCAGCAGGGGGCGTTCACTTTATTATACAGTCTATACCTAACTCGGTTACCCATTTTTGGACACCCTGTAAAGTATATATATTTTTAAATGGGATGTTATTTTCTTTATACTGACGCACATTTATTTTTTTAGTCATATTTTTTTAAATGGGATTGTATAAATATTTTTGCACGTTTTGATTGATTTTTTTATTCTCTTTCCAACCATATGAAATCTGTATGCTTTTACATAATGAAATTTTTGAGAAAATATGGGAAAACTTTCAGCCTTTGACTTTAGTTTACGGTGCTCGGTTTCTAAATCATATCAAATAGAAGACTTTGTTTGCAGTTAGTTACGTACTGTCCTTTCAACTTATAACAAAATAAATGATTTTACTGAATTAGTTAATATACTGCAGGTTTATTATGAATGTAGGAAAAACATTTTAATGAGTTTACATTTATATCGACAACGTTATTTATCCTAATAGAATTTTTCCCAACAAAAGAAAGTTTAGTAAACTAGAAGCTAATCTAAGACAGTTAAGATATAGGAAAAATATGTATGTAACAACAACTTAGTAATACTAATAAACAAAAAATTGTACAATACAATATCAAATGCAAACAAAAAATGTTAAATGAATAGTGAAATTTAAAAGTACTGTTCACAAACTGTTGTCCATTTCTCTCGACACATAATAGACCAGGGCGGATCTGTTTTGAGGTGGATGTCAGAGGGGGCAAGCAATTTTTTTCTGGATTACCTTCAGTACAACTCACATAATAAAAGTGTAG